TTTAAACGCTTTTTGTGTCTTGGATTTTAATCTTTTTCTGTAACAAAAAATTGCTGATTAAAGCTAAATTTGCTTTTTCTCTCAACATCTTGCATTATTGCATCATTGTTAGTGAAGTTAGGTGACATAAAATCGAGAGCAGCTGTAACTCGCTTTCATTGTTCATCTGGTAAACACTGACTTCTCCAGTCCGTAAGAGAGATCCTTTCAGCAGTAATCAAAACCAATCATTTTCCAAAGCAGAATTTTATTGCCATTATGGCATGTTCCCTACAGGAATTTGGGTAATAGCAGAGTCTTTGGGGAGAGACAGCAGAGCTTCTTCATCCAACTGACTGAACTAAAACCGCCAGTGTCACCACGTAATACCCTTACGCCAGCATGAAAGGTTAGTCAGAGCTAAGGTCATGCAACCGTAGTTTGCAGTTTCCTCAGCTGAACGGTATCTGTTGCAACGGAACCGTTGAGAGAAACGTTGATTCAAATAAAAGGTCTTTGTTACTTTCTTCCCTAGCTTTGACCACCCTGATATCAGTGTCCAGAAAAGCTGCAGAAGCTGCCCACAGAAGCCCAGAGGTACAGTAAAGGATTATCACTCCAATCACACATTTTTGTTGTCCGTGACAATACTTCTCTTCAAATCCATTTCTCAGCTCTGTAACCTGGTCTCATCCACCTGGTCTTTTCTCTTCCTTCTCTGCAGTGTTTCTAGTCACTATGTTGCTTATCTCTCCTCACACGTAGTTTACTGAAGGTTAAGTGAAGTTAACAATAGCACCCAAAATTGTAATTGTGGAGCAGATTAGGAACTCAAAAGGGCTCAAAGCCAGGGAGCTGTAAAACTTAACAGTCATTTCATGAGCTGAATTATTCAAGCAGAAGGGAGCTTCAAGCCTTGGAGTTTATGCTTCTTCCCCACAACTGTCATCCACATGTGGCTAATAAATTAACCACGCAGGCCGACCAAAGTCAGTACCGCATAGATCACTGCTTCAGCACAGTAACAGTGACTGAATCTCTCGGGACAGACTTTGTGGTTTTGTCTGAAAAGGAACAGCGTGGTGTGATGAAAAAACAGTGACAGCTCATTGTGGAACCAGGCGCAGAGAGAAGCGCTTTTCCAGGCGTGAGGGCGCTGGGAGAAGGCACAGCTTTGGGACTGACAAGTTTCTAACATCGGCATTCTTGCGTGGAGCTTTCAGCATCGGCCCTGCTGTAGAAAGCTTCCAGTATCATGTTCAAGCGTGGAAAATTTTCAATACTGCCTTCCTTGTTGGAGGACAGACAGATGTTAAAAGAGTGCAACTGTTTGGTTTCTTATGCTGCCCTATGTTGCATGACATTGCACAACACAACCCTCCACGTATACATTTAATTGTACAAAAGCCTTTTTCAGAGAAGAGTATCTAGAAAAAGAATATATTTAAAAGAACAAAGGACCTAATTTCTTTCTTAAAACAAGCGATTAAATCATTTGAATGGCAGGTCTCGTTTTTTCCCGTAGCTGTAATTACACTTTCTCACCCTACCTGCTTTTCCACAATAATTTTCTTCATATTCTTAGAGCAGATATGAAAACAGATGCAACACAGGAAGCCTCACTCCAATTATATTCCATAATTTCCAAAGACTGTTCCAAAGTATTTTTTTTTCCATGAACTTGCTATATTAATGTTGAAAGGAAGAGCAAAGATATGTTAATAATAAACTTACATAAAGCCTTTTCTTTTGTTCAAGAACTAACAGATAACAGATTTGGAAGGGTAAAATGAGAAAAATGCTTCTCTTCTTTCGACTGTTAAAAATAATTTCTGGTGCCTGTAGCCATCCTGAAGACTTTTCAGCAACAAACTCCCAGAGGTCATGACTTGCCGTTTTAGGACTGACATTGAGAAAAATCTGATTCCTGAAGACTCATGGACTGTTTCATCACTCTCTCAACTCTTTCAATCAGCAAAGATTCAGACGTAAAACCCATTTTGATGGAGCTAACCTGTATTTTTATATGACTGTAAACTATACCGAAGGTACCCATGCACTTGCTCTCATTTGAATGGTGTGATATGGAAAGCTGTAGGGGAGTCTGGTGGACAAAGAACGGTTTTACACCAGAGATGCTAATGGCTGTACCACAATTCATCCAGTACACACTCGCATGGTAAGATTCTACCATCTGTTGCAAAACTACTTTATTAGCTAGGAAACACTCCGCAAGAAACTGTCATATACAGGCGGTTTACCACAAAGTGAATAAGTAACCCATCTGGCAACTTAATTCACCAAACAAAATAGTGCTTTCCAACTAACACATGGACTAAAAGCTTTGTTAAAGCCTGTTTAAAACAACTCCTGGCAAAGTAGCTAGGCCTTCACACAATTCCAGACCACAGAACTGAGAACGTGAATTTTCCACTGAGCAGCAGTAGAATGGTTTATGGTAATAAATACTGGAGCACAGAATATCCCCTGCGTAAATGTTTATTTTAGAAGATAAGCATAAGCTTTGTTTGTAGGTCAAACACCATCAAAAGAAATAGCCACAGGAGTTAGCCCTTACAAGAATTCAGAAAAGTGGCTCCTGACAGGCTTTAGTATCTGCAAAGGGAATAGGGAGCTCCGCATTGCTCTGTCAAATTTACCTCCCAATTACCCTCTCTTCAAAGAGGATTTTGACTAACTTTTTCCAGTTTCCATTATGCCTTTTAGGGCTGCAGTTTGAGCAAACACATAAAGCTTCAAATGAAATAGGGATGAAGGCGGCATTTATTACCGCATTAGTGAACAGTTCTGCATGAACACGTCCTCATCAGAAAGAAAAAAAAAAGGGGGGAGGGGGGGCGGGGAGGAGTTTGAAGGACTGGACCTGGTAAGTGCTTCTTGTTCAATGCTCCTTACACTGAGCAGATCTGGAACAGGGGAGACTGTGGAGATAAAGACATTGGCCAATCTCACACCTGCAACCAGTCAATACCCTCAGGTAGCTAAGAGCTTCTTGCCACTGCCTTTTAAAGGTTTTGGTGGGTTGGTTTTTTTTTTGTTGGTTTTTTTTTTTACCATTGAGCTAGGTTAGTGTGATTAAAACTCTTCCAAAGACATGGCATCTTCAGTATGCAAAGTTAAGAGCCTGCTTTTCATCACTGCTGTAGCTATACGTTAGAAACTCCTCAGATTAGCAAGAATATTTATCTAGACCGATGTTAACTAGGGAACTGGATGAAAATAATCAGACAGAAGAAAACCAACATCAGCAAAGCCCATATCGTGTACACTAGGGCCAAATCGCAATCAAAGAGACTCTACAGAAACTTTGGGTTTATCCCCAGACCAAAAGGGCCAGATCCACCACCGGTGGTTCCCCTGAAAGCAGGAACTGCAAACCACGGGCCTTACATCTTCAACTGAGTTTTGCTTCCAGGCTTTCCACTGCTGCAGCTTTCACTTCACAGGGAGAGCAAAACACGGAGAGAGACGACGCTTTCCCTCCCCAGACCCGGCGCTTGCAGTCCGGCGTGAGAGGGCAGACCCGCCCCCCGCAGCCAGCC